ACAGCTGAACACACTCGTGGCTCGTTCTTTTTACAGTAGAAATCAAATATTCTTCAGAAAATTCTTCCCAAGTCTGTTGCAGAAGTTCCCATAAATGTGTCTCACTTGTAGGTTTCTTGACTTTCACTTTTCTGTCCAGTTCATCCCAAACCAGCTCGATGGGGTTTAAGTCTGGAGACTGAGCTGGACACTCCATGTTTTCAAGTTTACCATCTTCTTCTTTTTTCCTGAGGTAGTTTTGGCAGAGCTTGGACTTGTGTTTTGTATCTTTTATCCTTTTTTTAACCTCTGGCTCTTCAGTTCTTACCTTTGTATCATTTCAAGCTCTTCACTGGACTTGCACGACTTGAAATGCAATAAATAACTGGAAAAATTAGGGTGTTCTAAAACTTTTGACCTGTAGTACATGTTTCACTTCACTTTTGCACACTTGGATTAGTTGTCTGACTCCCTCTGCTGGCAACAGTGGGAACTTAGAGTGAAACAGTTTGAAAATGAATTAGCAGCATGACTTTTGTCCACTCTGTATGAAGAAGAAGTGTGTCATGAGAGTGTATGGACTTAAACATAAACTTTTACTTTCTATGGAGAAGTTTGAAACAGAGGTGCTACTCCAGGGATGATTTTGAGTTATAACATTGCGGCACAATTTAATGAATCAATTAATTTACCAGAATGCAGTGTCTTTCGAATCACCCATTCGTGGCACAGAAATGTCTCTATGACCAATTTATCATTTTTACAGTTTTAATGTGAGCCTCCAACTATTTTTTGTCAGTATTAAAACGATGTTGCTGTCTAGTGATGGGGCTTTCAGCTCTTTTGTGAGATCCGAATCATTTGGATTTGTTCGTTTCAAAGAGCCGTTCAAAAGACTGGCTCTTTTACTATTTATCCACATGACAGAGGCCAGTGTAAGAACTCCTTTTACGTAATCACACAGAAAAATGACCAAGGCCAAGATTTGATTAAAATGGCTTAAACAGAGAGCAGGAGTGTGTTTACCCTTTGAAATTATGTGTAATCTAAATAAAATGTTGCACTACGATAATAATTTAAAAAGTAATAAATGCCAAATGTGTTTTTTGGTGCACAAATCTCTCATTCGTGCTGCCTGCTCTGCTTTTGTGCTGATTCTTGTGTTGGTTCAGCATTAATCGGTGTAAAAATGCATTAAGATTAAACATAAAAAGATTTGGTTCTTTAAAAAATGAGATCCAGTTACGACCATTCACGTTAAGGACCCGTTCAAAAGAGCCGTCTCATTCACAAACATCCAGTGTTGGGGAGTAACAGATTACACAGTACGATTAGTACAGTAGAGTTACAAATCATGAGTAACATGTATTCAGTTACACATTACGTTAAACTGTACATTCACAGTTTGGGGAGTAACAGATTACATGTACCGGAGTTACGTAATCAGAGTACAAATTATGAGTAACTGTATTCAGTTACAGTTACTGTTTCATTGAGTGGTAATTGGATTACAGTTACTTTGTTGAAATAAATGGATTACACGGCGGTATTTTCCTGTTTTCACATTTTGGGCAAAATCCCTTTTTTTCCCCCCGGTAATTTCACTCATTGCCCGGCACTAAACCTGGTCTAAACTAAGACTAAACCAGTACTAAACCAGGTCTAAACCTAAACCAGTCTAAACTACTAAACCAAACTCTAAACCAGATCTAAACTAAACTAAACCAGGTCTAAACCAAAACCTAAAACCAGGTCTAAACCAAACCAGGTCTAAACCAGGTCTAAACCAGGTCTAAACCAGTCTAAACCAGTCTAAACCAGTACTAAACCAAGTCTAAACCAGGTCTAAACCAAGACTAAACCAGATCTTAACCAGGTCTAAGCCAAGTCTAAACTAGATCTAAACTAGGTCTAAACCAAGACTAAACCAGATCTAAACCAGGTCTAAGCCAGGACTAAACCAGGACTAAAACCAGGTCTAAACCAGGTCTAAAACAGGATTTAACAGGACTAAATCATGCTGCATGGACCGTGTTTCCTCCTCTTCTATCAATAATATTTTTAATTTGGTTCAGTAAAGTCTGGGCTTTTTTATTTTCTTTTATCAGACAAAACATCTTATTTGAAGATTTAGATCTAGTCTTTGCTTTTCTCCAGCAAATCAAGTAATCCAAAGTATTCAGATTACATTACTCACTTTAAGTAATTTAATGGATTACGTTACAAACTACATTTTGAGTGGTGTAATCTGTAATCTGTAGGGGAATACATTTTTAAAGTAACCTTCCCAACACTGCAAACGTCACATCACTCCCGCGTGACTGTCTGCTAGTTTACGTTTTTAAATGACTTGAAGTTGTCTTTTGGAATGAATCAAACGTCACTACATTTGGTCTGGAGGTCACAGTGTCTTTATCATCACCCCCACAAACCAGAAAATCACTGGTTCAAATGCACATAGATTTAATAATTCAGCTTTTCCGTTGGCAACTTTGACAGAATATAGAGAGCAGACTATAAACCAGTGTTAATTTAGACATTTTAATTTGGTTACTTAATTATGTTACTAAATCTTGACTGAAACTAAATGATCCATAATAGTTCTAATCAGTCAGATATATTTCAGTTTTGACTTTTTTAACTTTTCAGTTTTAGCAAAATTTTCACTTTCAATTTAGTTGACAAAAAATGGACTTTTATCACTTTCATTGTTATAGTTTTGATATTATGATAACTTTTTTTAACATAAAAAAAAAAGTTTTGGAAACACCTGAGTTCCAATGTCATGAGGTAATACAGGAAGTGCTCCACCATGTTTTTAAACTCCATCCACCTTCACTAGAATCATGTGGACGATTTCTAGCCTGATTCATCACCCGGTTTCACTTTGTGGAAACCGTCTGACCTTGCAGCATTAGGATTTGTTTGCTCAACGGTAGACGGGTACTTTTTTTATCTAAGCAATCGCTGCTATTTGGTCGTGACATATGTAATGCACCATATCCTGTAGGAAGAATCGTAATAACGTCTTTCCACTTGATAAAATTCACCAAATATTCTCTTTGTTCCGGCTTTAAATCCTCAATCTCGAGAATCGTTGCCAACACAGAATGTCTGTCTTCGTCTACATCCATCTCGAACGCTTTGTTTACTGTTGTGCTGAAACACAAAAGGGACCCAGACAAGCGCTTGAGTTTGACGTCATGGCTTCACAGCTCTTCGCTGATTGGCCGGTGCGCGGTCTACAACTTCCGGGGTTTTTGCGAACTGTCTAGTGTATTCTGATTCCTGTCCTAGTCGCTGGAGAGAAATGAAATTGAGCAGAGGCACTAGGTGGCGCCAGCCTGACTAGAACAGTCCAGGAGGCAAGCAACATTTTCTAGATGATTTCAGCCCTAGAACTGCAACAACTGGTCAAACGTAGTTGTTAATTTAAAAACTACCACTAAATGACATCACAACGTGGATCAGAGCATTTTGAGCTTTGGAAATGTAGGCAGACTAATAATAAAAGATTACTCAAACATAGGGGTGTGCAAAAATATTGAAATATCAATATATCGTATAGTCTAATGTGATGATACGGTATTGATATCGTGGGCTGCTGTATCGATATATCGCCAAGAGTATTTTTACCTCCGCCAAGGAGGTTATGTTTTTGCCGGCGTTTGTCTGTTTGTTTGTTTGTTTGTTTGTTTGTCTATTAGCAACATAACTCAAAAAGTTATGGACCGATTTTGATGAAATTTTCAGGATTTGTTGGAAATGTGAAAAGGAAGAACTGATTTCATTTTGGGGGTGATCCGGAAGAAATCCTGGATTCTGGATCACTTTGAAATTTTAGTTATAAAATGGGGCCAAAAATTTTGTTTCTCAATATCTCGGTTAATTATTGACCAAACCCCATGAAATTTGACTCAGGGATGGACAATGGGATCCTCTTTCATATTCCAAAGGCTGATCCGGATCTGATCCAGAAGACTGATTTTATCGCAATTTATATAAAAAATGGGGGTAGTCCTTGGCGGAGGTCTGCGCTCTCTGAGTGCTTTTCTAGTTTGGTATATTTTACTCAATTATTTTGTTACAGAGCTACAATTTTGTTGCTTGTTTAGTTGAAGGAAACTCATTTATGCAACACATTTGACATTTTCGCTGTTTTGATGATTGAAATGTTTGTGTTTCATTTTAACTCTGCACAAGCAGTGGTTTAACAAAGACTTTTAGTACCACAGCCATGACTTAGCCTTTATTTTGTATTGGACTGTATCGAATCAATTTGACAAATATATCGTATCGAATCGAAAGCGCACTGTATCGAGGTATGTATCGTATCGGCAACTTCTTAATGATACCCAGCCCTACTCAAACACATGTGAATGAAAAAAAAACACCAGTCTGGGTATATTTTTGAGAAGGAGACATTATAACAAGGCTTATTTTTTGTGCAATATTGGACCTTTAATTTACAAATTTAGTCTATTCAATCTGTTGTACTCAACTTTTCACCACCAGTAGCTTCACCTCTACACTTGTCCAACTTTTTACCACTTGACAGCCGACCCCAAACCTCTCCCCCCCCCCGCCCGCTCCTCCCCAGACTGTATTAGCTTCTGTGGCAGTAGCTGGTAGTTCTGCTGGCCCTGCTCTTTCCGTGACCCGCCAGAGTGATTGTGTGCGGGGCAGAGGAGCGCGCGCTTTCGGGGGGCATCCATTCCACGCTCCGGATTTATTGTGAAACGGTAGCGCCGGGTGGAGAGGCCGCGACCTCGCCCGTCTCAGGTCTGCAGAGTGCTGATGCCTCACTACCCACCAAGTTATTAAAAACTCCATTACCGCCATTCAAAGGTGGACATAACTCACTCCGGGGATATCGAGATGTCAAAATCCGGATTGATTCGGGAGGGAAAGCTCAGTAAAGGTAGAAATAGTAGGGGAAGTGGGTCAGTGAGGGCTGGGTGGTTCTGTTAGTGGAGCATCCATCAAAGGCTTTTTCAATAACGGTTCCTTTGTCTGTGCAGATCCTGAAGGAGGTGAAGGATGAAGATTGGGACATCGGAAATATCGTGTTCACGTTGACCAACAGGAGACACGGAGAGAAGTGCATTGCCTACGCCGAGAGCCATGACCAGGTACCTGCCAACTATTCTTAGTTCAGATCAGTATTGTCAACAAGTTACCAATATTTTTTTTCTGATTACTTGTGTAGTTAAACTGGTGTATTGTACTGAGACTTTTCAAATATGTTTTGAACAAAAAAAGGTAAAATGACATAAATACGCTGAGTGTAGAGTACTACTACAATATTTACAAAATGTACAAATTATTAAAGGGCCTATATTAAGATATTTTCTGATCTGTGTTATAATGTTGTTTCGTCATCACAAACATATCTGGAGTTGTGTTTTGTTTCATTCACACATGTTTAACACACAATTAAATGAAATGAATGAAACAAAACAACTCCAGATATGTATAAGGAGGTAAGAACATTATAACATAGCTTAAATCTCACAAAATGTGTAATACAAGACCTAATATAGGACCTTTAAAAATCACAAATAGTTTTTAATTAAATTTATTTTTGCTATTTTAATTTAATGATGACACTGTGATTGTTTATGAGACATGTTTGGCTTTTGTTTTAGAGGCTTTGTTAAGCTGATAACAAATAACATTACTAAAATAGTCCAAGTATTGTTTGAGCAGTTGCTTAGTCATAATTTATTTTATTAGATTCTTTTTTCAGACCAAGAGTTTGTTTTCATATCTGGCAGTTTAGACTGCTCACTAGCGGTCTTCCTCAGAGTGGTCATGTGGCTATAAATGGGGATGAGGGGGCTTTTTTACTCTCTCACACCTGGGATACTGTCCTGAAGGAGCTGGACTGCAGATGGAGCTGTCATCTTGTTTCCACTGGAAGGAAGACAGCGTCAAAACCTGGTTAAATCACCTGACCAGACAGGTCACTGCAACATCACGTGACCACTCTGAGGAAGAGCATAAGTGAGCAGCCCAAACTGTCAGGGATGAAAAAAAACTCTTGGTTTGAAAAAAAAAAAAAAATCTAATAGAATAAATTATCCATTGTTGGACAATTATTCTTGATTATATCAATCACTGCTGTGCTAAAAGGAGGATAAGAGGGTAAGTTTTGAACACTAATACAGTTTATAAAATAAATAAATAAATAAAACTTCTTTGGCACCTATATATAATAAGAAATGCATCATTACCCTTCAGATATGATTTTAAAATGAAGATGACAACCTAAACCCAGCACAGCAGTAGTATATCCATTTTGCCAGTATTTGGTGTAAGTGCAGTGTCCTGACACAAACCTCTTGTGGCAGGCGCTGGTTGGGGACAAGACCCTGGCCTTCTGGCTGATGGACAAAGAGATGTACACCAGCATGAGCTCCCTCATCCCCATGAACCCCATCATCGACCGAGGCATCCAGCTGCACAAGATGATCCGCCTGCTCACACACGGCCTGGGAGGGGAGGGCTACCTCAACTTCATCGGTCAGTCTCATACCAGAGCTCAGACATTTATACATTTTTGTTTTGAAATATGCGGTTGGAGTTTGTACAGAATGACAGCTTCTGAGTTTTTTTTCTAGTGAGCAGTGGCCAGTATGTCAGGGGTGCTTTAGAAGTAGTTTAGTTCTGGGTTTGGACTAGAGATAGATTTTTATATTTGCACTTTTAGCATATCAGCTTTCGGCTTTAAATCTCCAGCAGAGGCCAAGAGGCCATCTGCTTTAAGAATATACATACAGTTTTATTTGAACAGTATGAAGAGGGTACTGCACAAAAAGTGACTACTTTGCTGTCTTATCCAGTTTGTATAACAGGGTTGGCTGAGTTTGATATATCCAGGCCCCAAAACAATCTATTTTATAAGACATGTGCCAGTCGCCCTTTGGATAGTTTGACCCTGTTTTGGGTTTAAGACCATAAACCTAGTGCGGGGCAATAATGTAAAAAATAAAATTGACTCTTGATTTCTCTCTTTACAAAAATAACATTAAAATTATTTCCAGTATTGATTTCATGAGCATAAACCAAAAGGCAAACTCTGGACTTTGCTCCAAACTACATGCTTTTACTGACAGACTGACTGTAGACCTCTCAATTAAAACAGCCCCCGCATCCCCAGTATATAACAGACGATAAGACATGACTGAGTCTCAATCCCTAAACCTCAAATTGGGATAATTGCTGGTCCCGGCGCAGACCCCATGCGAAGCCGTCCTGTGGAATGCTCGAGGACATGTTGTGATTGTGGCTGGTCCAAAGCGGGTCATAAGAGCTGATAGAGTGGCAGTGTCCTTCTGCGCGCTCATGTTTTATTCACCCAGGTGAGCACAACACCTCCTCAGCGCTCTGTCCCCCTCAGGCACTGCACAACAATCCTTGAGTGGTTATGGAATAGATATAAACACATATTTATTCTGCCGTGTGTCCGCACGCTGTGGGCACCAGATAAACACGGATGAATATTTCATACGACAATGCTACAGAGCCGGTGTGTGCTATAAAGCCGGGCTAATGGTAAGTGATGTGGTCTTCAGGGGAAAGGGAGACAAAGGGAGACAAAGGGCAGGTGGCATGTTTGATTTGTCTTTAAAGGGGCACTGTGTAACTTTTCATGCCAAAGGTCTGCCACATGCTTTTCTGCACGGATTTTATTGTTTTGTCTGGAATGTGTTTTGACCTTGAAAAACATGCATTCGTGCGAGGGCTGTGTTTTGCCAAGTACCTCACAGTACAAAAACATGTACTCAGACCTTGATACGAACAGTGTCCTGATATAGAGATTTCTCTTTAAAAACCCATATTAAACTGTTTTCTGGTCTCTGTTATCATGTTATTTCCTCGTCACAAACATATCTGGAGTTGTGTTTTGTTTCATTCACACTTTTTAACACATTAATCCTGCATATTTAGGTGGCGTTCTTTTCTTTTGTGGTGTCATATTTTAATAGAAAAAGTGCTCCATTGTGTTTTTGAACTCCATACACCTTCAGTAGAATCATAATTTCAGCCCCGGTATTGCCGATCTCTACTGAACTAAATGTAAAAGAAGCTGTTGACTTGAAAACTACCGCTTCATGACATCTGAAGGTGGAACAGAGCATTTTGAGCTTTGGAAATGTAGACAGACTAATAATAAAGGATTATTCAAACACATGTGAATGAAACAAAACACAACTCCAGGTATTTTTGAGGAGGTGGCAACATTCTAACATGTCTTCACTTTCACAAGAGTAAATTTTGAGCAATATAGGACCTTTAAAACCAGTGTTAAGTGCTTAGTGAATGAAAGTTTTGACGATGTAGAATAGAAAATTGCATTGAAATTTCATATTCATAATGCCATTAATTGTCTTTTGAATACGTCTCCTTTCCAGCCCAGCAGATTCAGCCTTAATGCAGTACAGTAGAGCTGCTCCATTTTGGAAAAACCCTTATCATGATTATTTTGGTCAACATTGAAATCATGATTATTTAAATGATTTTTTTTTAGTTACATGATGCATTTATTCAGCATTTCTCTCTCAAAAAAACACTTTGTTATTGATAATTTACACAAAATTTTCAAATTGAAAATAAATATAGGCTACAAACATGAACCTTTGAGCAGTTTTGTGATGTATAAAACATAAAATGAATAAAATATAACTTTGAACATGAAATAAGGCATAGAAAAACATAAATGTATCCAAAATAAACTTTATAACCAGCTCTTCTACAACCTCTATATTTAAAACCCAAATATTATATCCCAAACTAAACTTTATATCCCAAAATAAACTTTTTTAAGCTTATCATTTCAAATAAAATATGAGTTTGGAGATCATTTGACACACAAATCGAAATCGCGATCAAAATTCAATTAATTGCACAGCCTTAGAGTACAGAGTTGGTTATAAGTGCAATTCGCAATGTTTTATACACACCTCTGTATCGATATTATTGCCAAGAAAGCTGTCACGATATATAGATATTTTGATGCCTCTCCTCACATCTGTCCTGTGGCTTTAACTTTAATTCTATAATATTGAACATTAATAAGCAACGCAATAACATTTTCTTGGACACAATCATGTGGCAGAGCCTTCACAAGTAATAGTTAAAGCACCTTTAAAATTACTCAAATAGATTAGATTAGATTACTCATCAGACAGTATGAAATGGTAAAAGTTAAACAATTATAGAATTTCGTTTTTTAAAAAAGGCTTCTTTGTGTGGACATGAAGGTGGTGTTTGTGTCTACACCTTCAGTTCTCTTTAACTGTTTGTCCAAATAAAAAAAATGCCATCAAATAAGTCACCGAGATCAGCACTTTTGCTCGGTTGGAGGTTGCAACATCAGCAAATTTATGATAGATTTACTCCTAACTTGGTTTATTATAAAGAACACTGGCTTGAGGGCTCTCGGACCTGTTACAAATGTTACAAAACTATAAAACTATCATCGTAATACTGTGCTTTCCAAGTTCCATTAGACTGCGCTGACAATAAATCCGGACTAACTCGGGTCTAAAATTGGCCTAGACCATGATCTGTTTGTCTTTGTAAGGACAAGTGTTGTCACGATACTAAAATTTCAATCTCGATTTCGATTCTGATTCAATAATAATACCATAATGAAAAATTAAAAACACTCTTTCTTTAGACAATAGAATGTGTTTTTTAACATTAAACCACAGTACTTTCTTTTATATTATCATGTGGTTTTATATCTGTGTAATCCCTCAGTGGTCCAGGTCGATTCCATAGAGGTCCATGGACGTATAATTGTCAGATAAATGTCATTCTAAAGGTATTTTGTCCTGTTGATGTGACTGTTTTAGTATCTATTCTTGCTTAAATGAGTATGAGTTGATTACTGTCAGATTTTTGACCACCCAAATACAGACTAACTCAGGCTTTGTAATTACAAAACTAGGCTAAACTATGATCAAACTATAATGAACCATAGCAAAATATTATGTTTATTCAGTCAAATAAACATATTAAAGGTTCTAAATTAGACAAAATTTACTCTTATGAGCTTTATGCCACGTTATAATATTGTTACCTCTTCAGAAACAGACCTGGAGTTGTGTTTTGTTTCATTCCGCATGTTTGAGTAATGCTTTATTATTAGTCTGTCTACATCTCCAATCCTCAAAATGCTCTGTTCCACCTTGTGATGTCATGAAGCGATAGTTTTCAAGTTTACAGCTACATTTTAGCTTTTGTTCAGTAGAGTTTGGCAATTCCAGGACTGAAATTATCCATATGATTCTAGTGAAGGTGCATGGAGTTTAAAAACACAATGGAGCACTTCATGTATTACCACATGACATCACAAGATGGAGCAGTGTTTTCTGTTTGCAAGAAGAACACAGCCTAAATATGCAGGATTTGTGTGTTAAATTTCTGTGAATGAAACAGAACACAACTCCAGGTTTGTTTGTGATGAAGAAACAACATTATAATATAGATCAGAAAACAGCGTAATATGGGCACTTCAGATAATTGTTAAAAAGTTTGCTAACTCAAAGTCAGTTCTTATCTGCAAACCGAGATGAAATTCTGATAATTAAACTTCTGCGGTAGTTGGTGTTAAAAAAGCAGAAGTTTTTGATATTTGTGAATACTCTGATTGGAGAGCACACTTTTCCCTGCGGCGTAATTGAAATAATGAGCGAGATTAGAGATTCTGAACGTTCACTTTTTGATAAATTGCCCATCTTTACTTCGGCTGCCAGAGTTTAGGCCTTGTAGAATCTTCTCCAAGTGCGCTGACATTGGCTAATGCAGAGAACTATTTCCAAATTCATTACAGATTTTAATGAATTCATAGGAAATAGCTCAAAGTTAGGTCTGTTAATAGGCAAGACGGTTATAAATGGCATTTTGTATTAACAGTTTAGTTCCTTCTCGTAAATGTAGTTGTCACGATAATAAAATTTCAATTTTTCAGTATTAAGGAATAGACTCTGCACACAGTAGCATGTTAACGTCTCATTTCTCTTTCCTCGCTTCCTTTTCCTTGAGTCCTCTTCTCAATACACGCATCAAGAATCTGGGACTTCCGGTCATTGCGCAATTCATACTGGGAAGCATCAAACCGCCATGTTTGATTTCCCTGTGAGATGCGTCTATTGACAAAGACGATCTTTTCAAGTCTTTTGAACCATATCACTTTTGTTTTGGGATTCAGACATCATTAATTGTGTGGTTGTTGGATCCTAACAGCGGAAAACGGCTCGAGAAATCAATCCTGCCCATCCCCTTCACCTTTCACTATTTTTCAATTTCGTCGGGAAGGGGAACAGTTTGAACAGAGGTTTGCAGTCACACAGATCTGATTCCCTTTTGCATCTGTGGAGTTCGCAAACACATTTCTCGAGCAGTTTTCCGCTGTTAGGAAACCAGTGTACGCAGATACTGTGGGCAAGGGTTAAGTGTCTTGCCCAAGGACACAACGACAGCATTCATCTGTGGGAGCTGGAATCACACCAGCC